GAAGGGCACGACGTTCAGGCGAGCACCGACGCCCGGAACGCCGCTTGGTTCGCCGTGAGCGACCTGCCCGAGCTGGCATTCGACCATCAAGAGATCCTCGACGCCGCCCACGAGCGGCTGCGGGGGAAGGTCCAGTATCAGCCAATTGGCTTTGAATTGCTGCCCGATCGATTCACGCTGCGGCAGCTGCAGCACCTGTACGAGGTGATCCTTGACCGCGAGCTGGACAAGCGGAACTTCCGCAAAAAGGTGCTCGCGATGGAGATCCTCAAAGAGACGAAGGAAATCGAGAAGGACGTTGCCCACCGGGCAGCACGGCTCTACCGATTCGATAAACGCACTTACGACCGCCTGACGAAACAAGGCTTCAACTTCGAGATCTAGCCATGACCCTCCACCCGTACATCCTGGGATGCCTGCTCGGCACTGCCGTGGGGGATGCGGCTGGATTGCGGCGAGAAGGGCTATCGCGGCGGCGAGCGCAAAGACTCTACGGGCTCGGTGTGTCTCCCAAGCTGTTCGTCGGCCTTGGGATGTGCAGCGACGACACCGAGCACACCGTGATGGTAGCACGTTCGCTTGCCCTCGCGCATCGCGACCCGGATAGTTTCGAACGATTACTGGCGAGCCAACTTAAGCGTTGGCTAGTGGCAGCCCCGGCTGGCGTCGGATTAGCGACCTTGCGGGCCTGCCTCAAGCTCCTGGTCGGCTTCGGTCCCAGCCGCAGCGGCGTCTTCAGCGCGGGCAATGGACCGGCGATGCGATCGGCATTGATCGGCGTTGTGTCGCAGTCGGATACGGAGTGCGAGGAGTTCGTCCGCCGGTCGACTCGAATGACGCATACCGATCCCAAGGCTGAAGAGGGCGCCCTGGTCGTGGCTCGCGCCGCTGGATTAACCGCGAGAGGGATACCGATAGAACCCGCTGAGTTCCTGCAGAATGAGGCAAACCGAGTCAGCGGCTCGGAGTTGGGAGAGCGTCTCATGGCCGCTCACCGTTCGTTGGTGGACGGCCTGAAACCAGTCGAGTTTGTCGAGTCACAAGGGTGGTCGAAGGGAGTGAGAGGATACGTCAATGAAACCGTGCCGGCGGCCCTCTACTGTTGGGCGGCGTCGCCTGATGACCATCGGCAGAGCGTGACCAACGCCGTGCTGCTTGGTGGGGACACGGACAGCGTCGCCGCCATCACCGGCGCTATTTCGGGGGCTAACCTCGGAGACTCGGCGATACCTGGCGAATGGATTTCAGGGCTTACTGAGTGGCCACGGAACGTCGAATGGATGCGCCAAACAGCGAAGACGCTTGCAAGAAACCTGGCTGGAGAGCGATTAACGAATCCGCCGCCGATGCGTTGGCTGGCCACAATACCAAGGAATGCGGTCTTCGCGGCCATTGTGCTGGGAACCGGATTCCGTCGTCTGCTGCCACCGTATTAAGGAGCCACTGATGAACTACATCGAAGCGCCAAACGAATACAGCGCCGTCGGACCTTACGTATTCCTCGCCGGTGGCATCTCAGGCGCCGAGAACTGGCAGGACGAGTTCATGCGACGGATTGAGGGCTATAAAGTGAGTGTGCTCAACCCAAGAAGGAAGAACTTACCGGTGGGTGACGCCGAAGAGGGGCAACGCCAAATCGACTGGGAGTGGCGTTACCTTCAGCGAGCCAGCTTGGTCGCGTTCTGGTTCCCGCCCCAGACGCTTTGTCCGATCGCACTGTTTGAGCTTGGGGCCTGCTGTTCGTCGAATGTGCCCCTCGTGGTGGGCTCGGACCCAGCCTACGCAAGGCGATTCGACCTCGAAGCACAACTGAGGCTTCGCAGACCCGAAGTTGAGTTGCATGCATCGATCGAGGCGGTCACAGATGAGGTTGTCCGTCACCCGGCAGTCGGAGGCCAAGAGTAATGAGGGCCCTAATTCTTGTGGACATCCAGAACGACTTCTTGCCCGGCGGCGCATTGGCAGTGCCGAACGGCGACGAGATCGTGCCCGTGGCCAATCGACTGATCCCTGCCTATGAGCTTGTCGTCGCTACGCAGGACTGGCACCCCGCGGATCATCAATCGTTTGCAAGCCGGCACGACGGCCACGCGGTCGGTGAGGTGATCACGGTAGAGGGCCTCGATCAGATCCTTTGGCCAGACCACTGCGTCCAGGGAACCCACGGCGCAGAATTCGCCGCGGACCTGAACGTCGGAGGCTTTGACCATGTCATCCGCAAGGGCACGGACCGATTGATCGACAGCTACAGTGGGTTCTTCGACAACGGCCACCGAAAAGCTACCGGATTGGGCGACTACCTGAGGCAGTAACGGGTTCGCGTTGTGGACGTGATGGGCCTGGCGACAGAATACTGCGTAAAGTTTTCGGTCTTGGACGCCATCGAGCTTGGTTTCGAGGTGCGTCTGCTTTCCAAAGGCGTGCGTGGCGTCGAATTGAAGTCCGGGGACAGCGACGCCGCCATTTCCGCAATGACAAGTTTAGGGGTGACAATCGTATGATTGATGAAGCGGCAACTTGTGCGGCTAGTGCGATAGAAGCAGCCATGCTCGGCAGCATTGTCGGCGACGCGCTCGGCGTGCCTGTCGAATTCACGAGCCGTTCTTCCCTGCGCGAGTCGCCGGTCGTGGAGATTCGCGGCTTCGGCACGCACCAACAGCCGGCAGGCACATGGTCGGACGATTCTTCGCTAATGCTATGCCTGGCAGAGAGCTTGTCGGAAAAAGCAGTCGACTACCACAACCAGGCGGCCCGATTCGTGTCGTGGGAACGCGACGCGCACTGGATGCCGCACGGCGAGGTCTTCGACATCGGCAACGCCACCCGGAAGGCGATTCACCGGCTCGAGGCCGGAATCGAGCCGACCCAGGCGGGATTGGCGGGCGAGCACCACTGCGGCAACGGGTCGCTGATGCGGATCTTGCCGGTGGGGCTCTACTTGGCGTTCGCGGGAAGTAATGAACGAGCTGAGATTGCTGCCGCGTGCAGCCGTTTGTCACATGGCCATCCCAGGTGCCAACTTGCTTGTGCCATGTTCACTGAGATTGTCGCTTCCCTGGTCCGCGGCAGGTCGTTCGAGGGCGCTATGGTCGATGGACGGGACGTCTTGAAAGAAAATCTTGGCAGCAAATACCCGGAAGAAGCGGCTGCCTTCGAGCGGCTGTTGTCGCCGGCTTTTTCAGGTCTTGCCGAAGCCGATGTGTCTTCGAGCGGCTATGTCATCCACTGTCTCGAAGCCAGCCTGTGGTGTGCGCAGCGCGCGGGGTCGTTCCGCGAAGGCGTCCTCGCCGCCGTGAATCTTGGTGATGACACGGACACGACGGGCGCTGTGGCGGGCGCCCTGCTGGGGCTTCGATTCGGCATCCATCAAATCCCGAATGACTGGACTGAATCACTCGCTCGGCTGAAAGACGTGCGGGCGCTGGTTGAGCGGTTTCAGGCCACGTGTTTTGAGAAATGGAGGGCGTAAACCTGATGAGCCAGGACCGAAAGGCGATGCAAGATATGTCCACACTGTACACAGGCCGACACCTGTCGATGCTCAGTCGCGTCGGATGGGAGTACGCCACTCGAAACACCGCGCGATCGGCGGTGGGCATTGTCGCCGTTACTGATGCTGGAGACGTGGTGCTCGTCGAGCAGCATCGGCCGCCGGTTGTCCAGAACGTTATCGAACTGCCCGCGGGCCTGAGCGGAGACATTGTTGGGAAGGAAGACGAAACGCTGCTCGAAGCAGCGAAGCGTGAATTACTCGAAGAGACCGGTTACGTCGCTGAGCGGTGGACCGAATTATTGACAGGCTTCTCGTCGCCGGGCCTCACCGACGAGTCGATCACGCTATTTCTTGCTGAGGGCCTGAAGCAGGCAGGCGCAGGAGGGGGCGACCCTAGCGAGGACATCACCGTTCACAAAGTGCCCCTAGGGGAGGTGCTTGCATGGCTAAAGAGCAAGGCTGCGGTAGCGGATTTGAAGCTGCTTGCCGGTTTGTTCGCCGCGAGCGAGCATCTACGCAGCGAGAGAGGCTTCCGATGAACGTCGCTGCCCCGACCACAGAAGAGCGATTTGTAGGCTGCCTGCTGGGGCTCGCCGTTGGCGACGCTCTCGGCGCGCATTTCGAAGGTCAGACTACCGAATACATCGCTCGGCGGTATGGCAGTACGGCCAGTCTGATCGAGAAGCCACCGACGGGCGAGCTGTGGTACACCGACGACACGCAGATGGCGATCGGCGTCGCGGAGACGCTCGTTGCCTGCGGACGCATCGACGAAGAGATGCTCTGCAGCCGCTTCGCCGGCAACTACCTCCCGCAGCGTGGGTATGGCCGGGGGGCTAAGGTGGTGCTGCAGGCGATGTGCGATGGCGAAGACTATCGTTTTTGGGCCGAGAATCTGTTTCCGGGCGGTTCGTTCGGAAATGGAGCGGCGATGCGCGTCGCTCCAGTCGGATTACTTTTCCGCGATGATTGTGACGCCGTTTGGGAGCAGGCTCGGCTGTCCTCGCTCCCAACTCACGTCCACCCTCATGGAATCGAGGGCGCTCAGGTGGTGGCGCTCGCTGTCGCTCTGGCTTCCTCGGCAAACAAAATGGACCGCGGCTCACTCTTCGAGAACCTCGCTCAACGATGCGTGTCCCTCGAGTACAGCGGGCCGCTTAGGCGTGCGGGTCGATTGGAGGATGTCCGCGATCTGGGGCTCTTCGGCAACGGAATTGAGGCAACCGCGTCGGTTGTGACGGCGGTCGCTGCTTTCGGGCTCACGCCGGATTCGTACGAAGAGACGATTGGCAACGCGATCTTACTCGGCGGCGACACCGACACGATCGCGGCGATGGCAGGCGCCATCAGCGGCGCCTACCTGGGAGCCCAAGCAATTCCAAGCCACTTGCTCAGCAGCCTGGAAGACCGAAAGCAGGGCAAGTCGTACATCGAACAGCTTGCCAGAGATGTTTACAAGAGATACGAGGACGCCGCGAGATGAGTAGGCGGCGAGAAGGAATTTGAAATGGACAAACAAGCACTCAAGAAGATTAGCAAACGCCTCAGCTACGTGCTGCGGCATCGTCCCGACTCCGCTGGGCTCGAACTAGGAAACGGAGGATGGATTCGCGTTGACGACCTCCTCGCGGCGCTGGCCAGCAATGGCAATGCGGTGACACAGCCCGTCTTGGAGCGGGTCGTCGCCGAGAATGACAAACAGCGATTTGAGTTCTCCGAGGACGGGCTGCGTATTCGGGCCCGGCAAGGCCACTCTGCTGAAGTGGATCTCGGGTACGAGCCGGCGACGCCCCCTGACGTGCTCTACCACGGGACCGCCACGCGCCATCTCGAGTCGATCCTCCAACAGGGACTAGTCAAGGGCCACCGCCACCACGTGCACATGTCGACCGACAAGGAGACAATGATCCAAGTCGGGATGCGACACGGAAAGCCTGTGCTTCTGGCGATCGATGCAAAGCGGATGGTCGCCGATGGCTTTAAGTTCTGCGTGACTGGTAACGGGGTGTGGCTCACTGACCATGTCCCTGGCGAGTACGTCCGCAAAGCGTAGCGGGCGCTTGGAGGCTTTCAAAGGTAACTTTTTGATGGGCATTTCTCGATCGCCAGAGGCGCGGGGTAGGCTTCGTTCCGTGTAGCGGACTCAGCCGACACCTGCCATCCAACCCTGATCCACTAGCTCGGGCTGACTCGGCCTAGGCTCAAAACCCTTCAAAACTCGATGAACCGTCGCCTCTAGAAGATAGGACGTGGCGTAAGTCAACTTGGGCAAGAGCGGCTAAGCACGCTAAACGTGATCGCCTGGGGGTGCAGGAAAAGGTCGCGGGTTCAAATCTTGCGCCAACTGACACTGCCTTGTTCGGGCGTATTAACAGAGTGCAATGCTGCCTCGGGCAGCGCGAGACAACCCGCTGGAGCGGCTGTTAGTTACTGGAGATCATGTCTGAGTGCAGGGGCTTACCGTGGACATCGTGAAACTGCACGGTCAGCGTCGGCCTGCCCTTCACTCGCTCTGCGGTGACCGAAAGAAACCCGCCGTTTACCCTCAGGAAGCGGTGGTATTGCTCGACGTAGTCCTCCTCGCTCCAGCCACCGGCGTGCAGATCGGACGCCGGGCCGCAGCAATACTCACGGACGCCGGTCTTAGGGTCGACCGACATGTACTGCCAGTGCCGGTCGCCGCACACGATGATCATATTCTCTTGCTCGCCAATAAACTCGCGGAGTTCGTTGCCTTCGTGAGCGAACGCGTCGTTGGCGTGGTTGTCGCTCTTCTTCGACCGATCTGGACCTACCAACGGAGTGGGGCTGATGAGGACGCGGAAGGTCGCGTCGGATTGCTGGACGGTCGACTTGAACCACTCTTTCTGCTTCGATCCCCAAATCGTTTTAGCGGGGCCGTCGGGTGCGACATTGGGGCTTCGGAAGTCTCTTCCCTCCACTAGCCATATCTGCAGGTCACGTCCCCAGCGGAACGTGCGGAACGTTGAATCGCTCATCGGCACCTGCTCCAGGAATACCGCCTGCCCCTGAGCAAAGGTGAATTCATGCATGTAGTCTTTCTTCATCGTTGGCCAGCAATCATCGACCCAGGTGTCGTGATCATCTTTCTCAAAGTAACTTGGCACAACGCGGTGGAAGTCAAGATTTGTTGGCCAACTAAACATACGCTGCCAGTGGTAGCGGGCCAGTGGGAGGGTCTTGGCGAGACGATCGTAGTAGAGGATGTCGCCGGTATGGACGAAGAAATCGGGGGCAAGATCGAGCATGGAAGGGTAAATCTGAAAACCGTCAGGACGGTCTTGATCATCTTCCCCTTGGCCGGTGGAAACCGTGAAGACGACCCGCGCCGGCTTGTTCGGCAACGGAGCGGTACGTAACTTGCCGCTCAAGCGTGACGACGGCTCGGAATCAGGCGTGCCGCGGCCCTCCACTTTCAACTCGTAGCGAGTGTGTGGCTCCAGGCCGTGAAGTGGAATCTGCCGGGTGAAGTCGCGTTCATTACCTACGGCGCCCCACTTGGTCGCGATCCAGTCGGCCTGCCCTTCGGGCCGGTAAAGCACACGAGTTTCGCCCGGCGCACCGGGCACGGCTTGGCGGAGCTCATCCACTGTCGCGTTGTCCGAAAATATAATGTCTTCTACCTTCCCCTCTCGGCGCGCGGGGTTGTGCTTGCCGTCGACGTACTTGATTGAGACGGTCGGGCCATCGGCCGGATTGCGGGTGGCCTTCTCAGTCAACCGAGTCCACACGATGGCTGAATCTGGCGTAACCTCGCCGACTTTAAGGCCGCTGGCTTGGTGCACCTCCGTGGCGTCAATCGGCGCGCCCGCCATGGTGGCTAAGCTCAGCAGAACGCATTTAAGCTTCATGTTCCTCTGCTCTTCAAAGTGAATGCAAGAAGCTAACCCCTCGCAGTGCTTCGGAATGGCCGCCCTCCCAACGACGACAAATGTGGCGCCGCAGCGTGAAGGAAATACTATCGTCGCTGAAGGTTGGGCCGCCAACCCTCCATTGAACTTCGCGTCCCGGAGGGGGTCTGCTTATTCGCGATTGGCAGCGCCGACGGGCGCGGTGAGCGGCTACGATTTCCGCCACAAGATTGTTGCTAGCGCCGCGGACAGCATCAATGCTGCGCTTGACGGGGCTGGCACGGATGACAACGCGAGAGCGAAGTCGCGGTTGCCTTTCTCCCCTCCATTCTCGTAGCCCTGTCCGCCCGCGTAGACGCTCCCCGAGCTGTTGGTAGTTCGAAACCATTCCCAGCCGGGATTCGTTGTGCCAGAGAAGCGGAGCATGTAGCTGCCAGACTCCAGGGCGAGTGAGGCATCGAGCGCGATGGTGGCGACGGTGTCCGTGGACTCTACGTAAGGGAAAGTAACGGATTCTGTGAGGATGACGTCCCCTGGCATCGGCGGCTCATCATGCGTGGGGGCGTCTGCGTCAGCAACCTTGAAGATCGTCATCGTCAAAGTCTTGTCGCCGGGATCGCGATCGTCATTCTGATACGCAAGGTAGATGCTGTTAAGCGAGAAGGGGTCGACCACCGTAAAACTTTGCGCCAGCGAAGTGTCGGCATCATCGCCAAACGTGGCCTCATCCAAGGACGCCACCGCGATCTCAGGATTGGCGGGGAAGCTTCCCCCGGTTTCAATCGATTTTACTGTCACGGAGGCGGCGTTGGCCGCGGCTGCGGTCAACAGCGTGACCGCAGCGAGCCTAGTCAGTGCACAGAAATGGTGTCGCGTCATTAGAGCTACTCCAGGAAGACCAACAAGAAAACTACCACTGATGACTTATACTTCTCCGCAACACATTCGGCGTGTGCGGCGCCGGCAACGAGCGGTTAGCGTTAATCGCCGCAAGCAGGAAGAGTGACCGACAGTCTCTAGCGAGGCGAACCTATCGCGTTTGCAACGGAAACGTTGGACTCACTACTCTTCCTCGCTCGACAGCGCCCACTCTACTTCGTTCGTCTTGCCAGCCTCCACGTTGACGGTCAGGCCCGACGTGCTGGCCTGGGTGTACCGCTTGGGCACGGCTACCCGTGTTTGTTTCTGTGACGCGTTCAGTTCGTCCGGCGGCAATGCAGCAACAACTGCAGCGTGGTTGCCGACTTGGGCGCCGTCACCGTCGTGGTAGGTGCTGAGTTCGAACGTGCCGTCTTCCTTAACGAGGGCTTTGGCCATGCGACCCTTGTCTGGAATCACGTACACGATCCCTTGTGGGAGCGGCTCCCCGTCAAGCGTTATCCGACCCGAAACCGGCGCCGTGTCCAGCTCGTGGGAAGACTGCCCGCATCCTACAGCAACCCCCACAAAAGCGGCGATCAGTACACACTTTCCGAGGAGCCAGTCACGTTTCTCCATCTGCCGTGAACTCCTAGGTTTAAATCTGGCTGTCGTCAATGACGTTGCCATCATTGCGAGTCGACAGGTCGAACAAGACTTGTAATTCAATGTTTTCCCCAAAGAAGCTCGTTGATCCGTCGGTCAGGACAAAGTGACACCCTCCTGGGTGCTCTGACCCGAAGCCCATGTTGTTCCGTGAAGGCCCAGGACGGGCGCCGCTGTTGATGGAGTAGGCGACGTTCTTGGCCCCATACATGAACACATTGGTGGCACCGACGATCCATGCGCGTGTCCGCTGGTCCTCAATGATGCCGAACGCCGATTCGCCCCAGAGGAAGGTGTTCGACGTGCCGTCGATAACTTCCCCCATTCTTGTGTCACTGAAGCGGTAGATCACGCCGCTGTTGGCGATAGGCCCCTGGGTGCCGTCGATGCATTTCACCGTGGTTCGACGAGAGGAACTGCCCGAGGTTTCAGTTTCCATTGTGTACGGCGATGACGGATCGGAGCAGAACGACGGAAGCACGGAGAGCTCCGTGTTAGCGCCCAAAACGGCCAGGTAGTGAGTCCGCAGGTCTGATTCTGGCCAATCCCCAAATCCTTCCCCGTTGGTGTTGCCGGGGCCCAACAGCGTGACTGGCTCTAACCCCCCTCGCGAAGGACAACGCATCATTGGCAGCGGCGTGGTTGAAGGAACCTCGTTGTTGGGGTGATACCAGTCAACCGATTTGTCGATGCTGTCGTACAGCGCCTGCTGTTCCATCTGAGGAAGGATGAACGCGACCGCACTGTAGTCGCGACGCGTTGGCGGGTCCGCGTTGGGGTCCAGCCAATCTGTCGCCGGTGGAAAGTGCCCCATTGCGCTTTCGAAATTGAGGCATGCCAGGCCCACTTGCCGTAGGTTGTTTAGGCAGGTGCTCCGGCGGGCTGCTTCGCGAGCGGACTGCACTGCCGGCAGCAGGAGCGCTACCAGAGTGCCGATGATCGCGATCACCACCAGCAGCTCGACCAGCGTGAACCCCGCGAGCCTTCTAAGTGGCGGATTCTGTGCTTTCCGATGAAATGACATCGATTGGACCTCCGTTCTTAGCATGGGTGGGACGTGGGACGCGTGAGGCGGGGATCTAGCTTATACGTCCACCTCATGCGTCGGATTGTGCGCCACGCGCCTAGCTGCCTGCCTGCGCCGGAAACCGACGCCGCCGGCCGACCAGTCCGCCTGCTGCCCCGGCGGAAAGGCCGGCCAGCAACAGCGACGACGGCTCGGGTGCTGACGCCACGCCGGCGCCCGGGATGGCGTTAACTGTCAACGTTACATTACCTCCGACGCCGGTGGTAACCGACTTAGTGACTTCAAAGCCGGCCAGGACGTTGCCTGGATCAACGATTACCATCGAGCTGAAGTCTCCCACTATCGAGCCGGTGACGGCTCCCGAGGCGCCCGCGTTGTCGCGCCACACGGTGTAGTCGGCGGCGTCAACAACGCCATCGAGGTTGCCGTCCGCCGTTACGTCTGACTCGCTGCCGAAGGTCGCAACCCACAGATCGTAGTCTTCAGGGCCTACCGTGCCGTTGGCGTCGTAGTCGCCTGGAAGTACTTCTGCGCCAATGGAGATGATCTCGAACGTATCCCCATCGGAGGGGACGTACGTCCCTTGTGTGGCGTGGGTGGTGCCCGCAGTCAGGGTGGGGTCGATCAGCAACTCGAGCACGCCTCCGAGGCTCACGGTCCCTTCAGAGGTAATCGTGTCAAATTGATTCGCGGCGGCGCCTGAAATCTGCATCACCGTGCTGGCCCCTGCTTCAAGAGTGAGGCTGCCGGAGTTGCCCCGCTGCGTGGTGAGCCGAAGGTTAAAGGGCACGTGTCCTACGACGCCGCCGTCAAGTTCTTCGTAACCGACCTCGAGAGCACCGCCGCTGTTGACGGTGATCGAGCCCACTCGCGTGCTGAAGAAGTTTTCTACGCTGTCGTGGCCGACGTCCAGCAAGGCGTTCTGGTTGACGACGACCGTCCCCCCCGACAGGTGACTACGCACCTCAACGTTCACAAAGTCGTTTGCGGTTAGCGTGCCGGTGAAATTGTTGGTGTCGTAGACCCGCTCGGCCGTTCCCCCCATCTCAAATTCATTAAGCCCAATATCAGCGGTAGTGTTTGTGGGGTCAGAAGGCGTCCCGTTTACCGTGATCGCACCCGCCCCGCTGATGCCGGTAAGCAGGCGTCTTGCTTGGCCGACGTACGTCTTGGTCATGTCGACTTCGACGCTAGCGTTTGCCGTGATCTCGCCAGGGGATCCGAGCCGTGGGCCGCTCTCGGTGGTCTGGTGATCAAAGACGCCGGGCTCGTTGAAAACAACGTTGCTGCTCGCGGCTCCCCCGGATGTTAGGTTCCAGGCCAAACGGTTGGTCCCCGTCGAGTTCATCTCGATTGTCGCTCCTGCGCCACTCGGGCCCTCATAGAGCACTTGGTCGCCGCTGCCGTTGAACTGCAGGGCGCCGTTGAACTGGCTTAGATCAGTAATAAACAGGTTACCCCCTGCTTCAACATTCACTTCTGCCGTGCCGGCGCCGGCCATGACCATATCGAGAGCCGCGTCGGCCCCGCCCTCTGCGGTAATCGTCAGGCGGCCATTGAGCTCCATCTGGCCAAGGTCGGTCGCCCCAATGTCGCCCAGAAAGAATTCGCCCGTGGTTGTCTCGACAACAGTGGCTCCTTCTGAAACGCTGACCATCGGAAGCTGGACGCCACTAGCCGTGTAGGTTAGTTCGCCATCGACGACGCTGACTTGAGCACCGTTGTAGTCTTGCGAGCCATCGGCGGTCACAGCGTGGCCGTTGACGATGTTGTGGACGTAGTTGGGCGTTGGCGCCGCGCCCACGGGCGCGATGCTGTTGTCCCATGTAGAGCCCGCCAGCAAGTCGCCGGACTGGACCGAGAATGCGTCGATCGGCGGCAGGGGCGGCGCATCGGAAGACAGGGCAAGTGTAAAGTCGCGTGTCCCAGAAGATTTTTCTGGACCGTCCTGATACGCCTTGCCACCGCTGTACACGTCCGCACCCGTGTTGTTCGTGGTCCGCAGCCACTCCCAGCCAGGCGCGGTGGTTCCCCCGAAGTGTATTGCGTACCCAGAGGCGCCGACGCTGGGAGAAAGTGAGAGCGGACTATCGAGTCCGATCTGCGCGACCGTGCTCGAGCTGACGAAGGGAAAGGTAACGGAATCTGAAAACAGGATGTCAGCCTCAAGCGGGGGCTCTGCCAGCGAGACTGCGTTGACGTCGGCCACCTCGAAAATAGACATCGTAAGCGTCTTATCGCCGGGCGAATTCGAGTCGTTCTCATACTCAAGAAAAATAGACTGCAGTGAAAACGCGTTATCTACGCTAAAGCTCTGCGCAAGTGAGATCGCCGCGTCCTGCCCAAACGCCCCCTGGGCAGGAGTGGCGACAATAACCTCGGCGGACCCCGGAAAGAGACTGCTGTCGCCAAGGTTAACCGTGACGGCCAACGCCGGCGGGGCCAGCGCAAGTGACGCTAGGCAGGCAAGGCAGAGCGTGGGCAGCGAGGCAGCCCGGTGGACAGTTGTCGGGACAGGCAGGTTGATCATTATCGGGCGACTTCCGTAATTAGAATTGGACGGCGTCTCGACGATTCTTAGTTCGGGACGGCTGTAGACTGCCATCGGGATCGGAAAAGCAAGTCTGCGGAGCGATTTCTTCGCTGAGACTATCAATGAGGAGTGGCGATTTCTTTGGTCACGAGGCCCTGCCCCGTCCCCGAGCGGACTTAAACTGCCGCAGCAGATTGGCCGATGCTCGGGACGCCTTCATCTAGGGAAGGGCGCACAACTGAGGAAATGGACACAGAAAGGTTGCGAACCGTGTTTTTTATGGTTGGAAATGGCGCCGAACCCGCTTTTTCGGCGGAATTGGGGAGTCGACCCAGACGGCACGGGCGCCTTGCCTCGGGTGGCGCCCGGGCCGTCACCCGGCGTGCTGCGTGGGGGCGCCGAAAATTAGGGCCGCAAGCGCAGCGGCCTGAATTCCGCTGAGTTGGGTGCGAGCGGGACCGACAAGGGGCGTTCGGTTCACAGTCCCGGTTGATCGCCGGCTAACTGCTCAGGGATACGTGCATCCCGGTTGATTTAGTGTCCAATTACCGGTGTGCAACGCCCTATAGAGGCCGAGGAAGGCACCTTACTCATGCCCACGCGCCTAATGTACTCTGGGGGGGCGTGAAGTTTTATCCCCGCTACGCTTACTTGCTGTAATCGCTTGTCATTACCCCAACGCCAGAATACCGGCAAAGAAGATCGCCTGCCTCTGGACGAGAGACGTGACATTTTTGCGCGGCTGCTGACGCAGAACGAACGCCGCATCTACGCCTACATACTGAGCCTAGTGCCAAGCTGGCACGACGCTGACGAGATCGCCCAGGAAACGAATGTTCGCCTGTGGAGCGAGTTCGAACGATTTGAGATCGGAACCAACTTTACCGCCTGGGCGCTGCGGGTAGCCCATTTTCAAGTCCTCACGTGGAGGAAGCAGGCAGCGCGTAGCAAGTTGGTGTACAGCCAAGAATTGGTGGACCTCGTCGCTGAGGCTCACGCCGGTAGCTGCGCCGCAACCGACGCTCGGCACCAGGCCCTGGGCGACTGCATTGGCGGATTGAGTAGTCGGAACCGTGAGCTGCTGACGCAGTATTACGCCGACGGGGCCAAGATCAAGGACATTGCGAAACGGCTCAAACGCACGACGGAATCCGTCTACAAGGCGCTCCAGCGGGTGCGGTTGTCGTTGCACAAATGCATTCAGCAGGCGATTGATCGGGAGGGAGCGGCATGAGCGAACAGTACGATGCTCTCTACTGTCGAATCCACGATTACATGACGAGTGAGTTGGAAGGCGCGGCTACCACGCGCCAGCGGCGCGATTTTGCGGAGCTTCTCCTCCACAGCGAAAGCGCTCGTCAGATCTATGTTGCTTACACGCAGGAGCAAACAAGCCTCCGGTGGTCCTACGCCAACCAGCCGTTTGACCTGTTCGACCAGGCCATGCATGAGGCGCTCTCCTCGAACGCTGCTACAACGGAATTGTCGGCCAGGACGACCGATCGCATCTTATCGAGGGCGATTGCTGCGGTGTTGACTGCGGCGGTTGTCCTAGCTGGAGTGAGTACCTGGCTAAACTTCGGCCAGAGCCGGTTTAGGGGCTGGATTGGCGACGGCGGAGCCGCGTCGTCAGTGGCGGTGGCGGATGAAGCCACCGGGGACGCCGTGGGCAGCCACTCGGACCCGCCGGCACGCACTGCTGTGGCCACCGTCACGCGAGTGATTGACGTGAAGTGGGCCGCTGGCGCAACGCCGCCGGCCGAGCTTTCCCGCTTACGCCCCGGGCAGACGCTGGACTTGTTGACGGGGCGGGTGGAACTCCTGTTCGACACCGGCGTGGAACTGATCCTCGAGGGGCAGACCCACTTCAAGGTGCTGTCTTCCGGCAGCGGATTCAGTCAGCACGGCTCGATTGCAGCCAGGGTGGGAGAGGAAGCACGCGGCTTTACCATCGAGACTCCCAGCGCTCGAGTGATCGACTTAGGGACGGAGTTTGGCGTCACGATCAGTGAGTCGGGCGAAACGGAGGTGGCTGTCTTTCGGGGAATCGTTGACCTGACCCTCGATGGAGCAGACCACACATCCGACCAGTCTATAACTAAACGCCTAAATCAGGGCGAAGCGCTCCGCGTGGGCAACAATGGTCAGTTTCATCGCGTGTTTGCGGTTGCGAGCGATCGTTTCCCGTCGTCCTCGCCGGATCACCTTTCGAAGAGGGGGCGGCCGGCACTGATCTCGGACGTTCGCGACAATATGCGTGACCCGGAAAGCCGGAAGTTCTACAAGATTGTCCGTAGCGGCCTCCACGAAGACGCTCCGGCATTCGTTGATCGTAATCACCAGTGGAATGGCGTTGATGAACGAGGCATTCCGCCTCAGCTGCTGGGCGCCGAATATGTTATGCCCTTCAACGATGACAAGCAGTTTAGCAGCCGCTTGGAGGTCACATTATTTGTGGCTAGGCCAATAACTCTTTACATTTTCCTGAGTGACGCGGTCAGCACGCCCGAGTGGTTATTGCGTGGCGAGTTCGTGGATACCGGCGAAGATATCGGCCTCGACGAAGGTCCGTCGCGATGGCACCCCGCCAGCACGGGGCGTCGCAAGCTGGCTGTCGGCGCCGGCAAGGGGATTAACACCGTCTTCTCGATCTGGAAACGAGATGTCCCCGTTCCATCGCAAGTTGTGGTGGGCGGGGTAGAACGGCCGGCAGACATAAACGGCTTCAATATGTACGGGATCGCCGCTGTGCCGATGGATTAGCGTCCCGCACTGATCGAGCACCCGGTCGGCGACGCTTCCCCCGTTGCCTGCTGCGTCTACGTCCTCTTGCGCTGACGCCAGACCCCGTGCTGATTGTCAGATTGGGCTCCATTTCTACCTCAAGAACGTCCTGTCATAATGCCGAACGCCGCTCGAAGAGCACGCTTCACTCAAGCGATCTGGGGAGTCTTAATGCTCGCCGCCCACGCCGCAACAGCGGAATTCTTGCTGGCTGACGAGCAATTCGACGCGCCGATCGAGCTGAATTTTCCGAGAGAGAATTTTCATCTCTATCTCTTGATCGGGCAATCAAACATGTCCGGCCGCGGAGAGGTGACTCCGGCTGACCGCATCCCGGAGTCGGGCGTGTACACGCTCGACAGCAGCGACCAATGGAAGAAGGCTTCGCATCCGCTGCACTTCGATAAACCACGGATCGCCGGCGTCGGACTCGGCATCGACTTCGCAAGGAAAATGATCGACGCCGACGCGAGCGTCAGGATTGGGCTGATTCCCTGCGCCGTGGGGGGCACATCCCTGAAGAAGTGGCGCAAGGGAGGGGATCTCTATCAAGCGGCGGTGGCACGAACGAAACTTGCGCAGGAAGACGGGGTCCTCAAGGGAATCCTCTGGCACCAGGGGGAGGGCGACTGCGGCGAAAAGTCGGCAGGCACCTATGCCCGGCGACTCTCCCAACTCATCTCCGACTTGCGGGCCGACCTCGGGAATGCGTCGTTGCCGTTTGTCTTAGGCGAGATCGGTGAGTTTCGCGTGGGGGTGAAAGGTCGCAGCGAGGTTGTTATACGGCAGCAGCAGACGATTCCAAGCCTGGTTGCGAACACCGCATGCGTCAGCGCCCAGGGACTAGGCCACAAGGGAGATTTCTCTCACTTTGACGCAGACTCGCTCCGTGAATTCGGCAAGCGATACGCCGTGGCCATGACGTCACTTCAGTCGCCACCCTCCAAGCGGCATGAGCTGAACGAGATCGATAGCTCACTGTACCACTCGGCGTGGATCGACCTCAACAAGAACGGGGAGCGTGATGAGTACGAAGATGCAGAGCTCGCCATCGAAATGCGAGTAGAGGATTTGCTGTCGCAGATGAGCACCGACGAGAAGACCTGCCAGCTGGTGACCCTCTACGGCTACCATCGCGTGCTTAAGGACGAGCTCCCCACTCCGGATTGGCGCAATCGACTCTGGAAAGACGGGCTCGCAAACATCGACGAACACCTCAACGGCATCCCCGAATGGCGTGGGAGGCCACCGAGCAAGTATGTCTGGCCGCCCTCCAACCATGCGCGCGCCCTGAATGAGGTGCAGCGGTGGTTTATTGAAGAAACCAGGTTAGGAATCCCCGTCGACTTCACGAATGAAGGCATCCGAGGGGTGTGCCATCGTGGAGCGACCAACTTTCCAGCCCAGGTAGGCATAGGAGCCACGTGGAACAAGGCGCTCGTGCGGAAGATTGGTGCGGTCACTGGCGCCGAGGCGGCAGCCCTGGGGTACACCAATATCTATTCGCCCATACTTGATTTGTCGCGAGACCCTCGCTGGGGCCGCGTGGTGGAGTGTTACGGAGAAGATCCCTACCTTGTGGCGGCTCTGGGAGTGCAACAGGCCCTGGGGTTGCAGGCTCAGGGCGTCGCGTCGACCGCAAAGCACTTCGCAGTGTACAGCGTGCCGAAGGGGGGCCGCGACGGCGACGCTAGGACAGACCCGCATGTAGCACCGCGTGAGGTAGAGATGATGTACCTCATGCCCTTCGAGTCGGTCGTTCGCGAAGCGGGTATTCAAGGCGTCATGAGCAGCTACAACGACTACGATGGTGTTCCCGTCTCGGGTAGCAGAGCCATGATGGTGGAATTGCTCCGCGAACGGTTTGGCTTTAACGGGTACGTCGTCTCGGATAGCGATGCCGTTCGCTTCTTGCATAACAAGCACCATGTTGCAGCATCGGAGAAAGACGCGGTGGGGATGTTCCTTATGAGCGGCGGCAATGTGCGCACGGAGTTCAATGCCCCCAAGCGATTCGTTCTGCCGCTGCGGGAGCTGATTGACGAAGGCGAGATCTCGATGGACGTGATTGATGATCGCGTTCGTGATGTGCTGCGAGTAAAATTTGAACTAGGCCTGTTCGACAACCCGTATGTCGCCAACCCACGTGAAGCGGATGTGGTTGTCCACCAGCAGAGTCATCGCGCGGTCGCTATGCAAGCAGCTCTTGAGTC